AGTCACGAAGGAGCAAACTCAACTACTAAACTAACATTTGAATTTTCATATTTAGACTCATGCACTTGTTTTCATGGAATTGTACCACATTCAGCTGGTTTGCTGTTGCAGTGCCAGCTCTCAGCAAGGACACCCTCAGCCTGTCCACTAGCAACTCTGAAACTTTCCCCTCTAGCAGACTACCAAGTTAGCAAATAACTACTATTTAAGTGTTATAGAGTCACAAAGCTTCGAAACAATTCGGAATAATCTGATGCTCGCCGTGAAGCTGTGAGACAACAGCTGAGCTTACGACATAAATTATGAGTTAGGCAACTGCTGCTAAACAGCTAAGCGAGCTAACACGACACCAGAGTGGGAAATGTCAACTGTAAAGTCATAGAAACTAGATGCTTTTCTTCTAGCTTTGTGTGATTTAAGCCCCTTTAATATTAGCAGAATACAAATATCACGCTTCTTTTCATTGCAGGTTTTACTTCAAAATACTGCGGCAATATGTAACCAGAAAAGTCGTGATTTAGTTTAAATGTGGGGAAGGTTGTTAGTCTAACTCATGCCGAATTAAAAGGAAAAAGGTATATGAATAGGAAAAACATCAACTGAAAACCAAGCAACGTGTTTAGACATCGATAACCACAACAACTCCAAATTGCATGTCTTTTCCAGTACAGTCTGGTTCGCCTTCTGCTGTTAGCCGAGTAGCTAGCCAGGTGCGGGCCGCAGGTCCAAAATTCCCCTATCCTCTAGATCTGCAGCACGCAGGACAGTTTACGACACATCCGGGTTTCGCATACTGGTTATCGCGAAAATAATATGACTGCTTACCGTGGCCAGGGAGCGGTATAACTGTGTCCAGCTCTGCATTCTGTCGGTGTACTCTCACTGGATCCGTAACCTACAGCAGGCCGAGCAGCCAAGGACTCCTATCATTGCGCACGCGCAGTATGGGTCCAAACCGAACACTCCTCCGGGTCGCATCTATTACACGTCATTGGTCAAGTTATGTCACACAGGTCTCCTATTTACCAAGAACACAGCTGAAGACGTTTTATGACTTAATATCGTCCTGGTCTACAAATGTTGGTTTTTGGTCTTTTCAGAATATCCAAATAGGAGTAATCCTCAAGGACAAAAATAGAGACTTCTTAGTAAACAATCTCATTATTACAACAAAATATTACATTCATAAATGCTGATATGCCAAATCCCCCCCTTCATGGCTTGCTCTTAAAAATGAACTTTCCCTGTTGCGTAAATCTCTGAAGCTAATAAATAAGCCCCAGGCAATTAAATTGCATACATTTTTAGAAGAACGTTTCTCACTTAGCCCCTTATTTAAGCTATATGTCTTATTAATAAGACCTCACTCTTAATGATTTTCATGTTCCCCCTTATCTCCTTTATTTTTGTTCTTTAATCTTTTTCTAATTTATTTACTTATTTATACTTTTTTATATACTTAGTTACAATTATTGTTAGTTTGTGACATACCAACAACAATGCTGCAATAATCCTCTGATTAAGAAAAAAAGGAGGTGTGATATACTGTTGTGAAAGATTCAATGATTCACTGTTTGTTTCAGATTGTCATTGTCTTTGTTCCAAATAAAGTTTTTAAAAGTTAAAAAAAAAAAAAAACAATGCTTCCGCGCACGAGACATAAGGACATCGTAATGCAAAACTGCATCAGAGCGTCCCCTTGTGACAATAGTAGGCTATAGCTTTAGATGACAAAAACATGACATTTTGAAATCTAGAAACCAGGCTGATTATTGCTTCTCAACATCAACCGGGGGCGGAGCTCTGCAAATGTGTCAGACGCCTTTAGAATGCTTTTTGTTCAAATGAATGTTGTCATGGCAACATTAATAGAATGAAACATTTTGAAAAATGCTTGCAGGATTTACATACACTTTGCTGTGGATTACAGTGGAGAAAAAGAGAGGAGAGAAAAGGAAAAATGATCATTTTCTCAGGTAAGGACCGCTCGGCAAGTGACGATTGCTAAAGTGGAAATGTTAAGGAGACATGCAGTGTGCACGTTAATGTTCAACTTTTCTAAACACAGTAGGGACTTGTACAGGTTTTTACACAACGGTTACAAAAG